TGTCTCCACTTGTCGTGGTGATGTGGCTTGCGTGACTATGTGACCTGGAGAGCTATACCGGTAGGGTGACCCATGCCGGGAAGGTCAAAGGGTAGAGTCCAGATTAAGAAAGTTAGCCTGGTTACGATATTGTGATGGCAGTGTTGAGGACGACCTGAAGAAGATGAAGGCGAAAGGATGGATAGAGAAGATGAGGAATAGAAAGCAATGGGGACCGGTTGTAGAGGAGGCCAAGGCTCACCCAGGGCTGTAGCGCCGAGTGGTAGGTAGGTATCCTGGAAGACAGAATTGCTGTATGTATAAAATGTATAAAAAATGAAACTTTGTGGCTTTAATCCGCAAGCGAACTATACCGATCGAGCGACCGCCGCTTGTCGGCGAAGTTAGTGCCAACTTTAGCGGATAGATTGTGTCGCGTGGTCAGCGCAACGAATCGCCACGGGACCGAATGTATTGAGAATTTTCTGAAGTTATAACTTCGGAAAGGAGGTTTGAACGAAGGGCAGAATTATAGACACCTGGGTCTGGGTTCTAGTGTTAAAATATTGTTATTATTGTTATCTAGTGACAGTATCATACCTCAAAACCTGAGGCTGTTGTTGAATGTTCAGTGTGCAGTCTTGGCACTCAGAATACTTGTTTCATTATTGGTGTCTCATACGAAAACAGTTTTCCCACAAAAATATCATTTTGTTGACTTTGGCTTCTCTGTCGGACATTGTCTGGCGTCACTTTTTAGTTCTGGAATTTCATTGCCTCAGAATACTCTTCTACGTTTTCAATGTAATGTCATTTTGCGGCCGGACACAGGGATAACAGTTGTGACAGGTGGGATGGAAGCGCCAAGATAGGATTATCTCGCGTATAAACGTAGCTAGCAAGGTGAAGTGACATGCGCACAGCAGGTGCGCTCTAGCGGCCCGTGTCAGGGATACCCAAGACAATTCAGAGAATGCTACAGCAGCACGGAGAGCTTGGCACGTACCTACCTCATGAAGTAATGTGGACCTGCACCCGTCTTCGTGTCAGCACTGCATGGAGGGGGGAGGAAGAAAGCCATTCTGTGTTTGGATGAGAAAATATCTCAGAAGCAGACCACACTCAGACAACTGCTTATTTCTCGCATATCCATCGGTACAAATCAAATGGCTCCTGTTTTAGTAGGAGCCGGGATAGTGTAGTTCTTATGGCTAATGGCTACGGGCTGGAGTTCGAGTCTCGGTAGCCTGAACAATTTTCTCTTCTCCACGTCGTCCGGAATGGCTCTGGGGCCCACCCAGCCTCCTGTCCAATGGTCATAGGGGGCTCTTTCCCCTGGGGTAAAGCGGCCGGGGTGTGGAGCTGAACACCCACCGCAAACTAGTGCCGAGGTCAAGAAAATATGGATCTATACACCCATTACCCCATACGCCTTCACGGCATATACCTTTTTACCTGTACCTGTCCTGTAAGTTCACACCGCCACCATCTTGTTATTGCCGATGAAAGGGAATTAAAATAGAATAAAAACATCAGGTAGACTCCAATGTTACAAGATTCTTGGCAGGTTTTATGAAAGTAGGTGAACTGGATGAAATGTTATTACACCTGTTCGCTTGGCTGCGCTGGAGAAGTGGCGGGGCAGTGTTTGCTGGTGCGCTCGGTGGGGAGGTAGGTGAGTCACTGTAAACCCATGCACACGCTGCAGTTGTTATCTCAATTAGAGGACGGTATCAAGGCAAGGTATGCAAACAGCCACAGCGACACTGTAAATGAATCTACATTATCCTCTTGTTACTCAAGTATGATGCGCGCCTGGCGAGGTTGTGGAGAGTCCTTGAAACATGAAAATTATTAGTAAATTCAGGACTAGAAGCGAAGGATACCACCACGTATTCACATGAAGAGACAGAAATGCGAGGAAACAACTGCCAAAATAACAGGTTTATCTACGAACATAGTGCCTCGTTCCCATGGAGTGTGAGTGAGAATCGCCACTGCTGAGGTAACCCGCTCGGTAAATTGATTTGAAGACCTGGATGAGCAAGCGTATGGTGATGGAAATACAAAAATTTATATTCAAAAGTTGATGTTTTCCGGGGGTTAAAATAGTCTCTTTAGGCAAAATGCAGTATTTTGATGTTAAAACAGGTAGTACATATATTAGCCACTGTGTTTTAAAGATACGTGACACTTAGCTATCCTTACATTTAGTCTGCTAACATCATGGAATAGAATCCCTCTCGATAAGTTGACAGTCGCTTAGCTACTCAAGGAATTCGTCATCTTTTATGCAACCCCGAAAGTTGATTACCATATTCGTAAAAGCCCGGTACCGAACCCTATCCAGAGCCAGTTGAATAAACTCCGCATCCTCACATCCTCTTCCTTTGGGTCCATTTAAATGGGAGAATCCCTAAAATACCCACTTTCCTTCTGGTTTTCCTCCTACAATTCTGGGCATTCCTTCACCATGCGTGCTACAAATGCCGACCATCATATCCTCCTCGGTTTAATCGACTACATCATAGGATTGTGCTGTCATTACTATACAGACGCGTTCTTTATATGCAGATAAATGAGGCCCCAAACACGTAACAAAGTATTCAAATAAAATTCTACGAGCAAAGCACAAGATGAGTTCTGTTTTCTGGGCTGTAACGCCGTGTAGTCCTTTGGAAGTCAACCGAATGTATTCAAGGTCGAAGCATAGCTTCCCACCCGCTTTCACATCGGTTTATTGCTCAAAATGGAGGCAACATGTTCCTCCGAAACGTCGGTTGGCTTTCAACGGACTACAAGTAGTTATATCCCAGAAGATAGAACGCTTTATAACCACCGCTACTGAGAACTTAAAGCCTACAAAACACATGATATTCATGCTTATCGAACAGTGCCACAAAATTCTAACATCCATTGTGATATTTTGTACAACCCTAGTAATCCTAGGAGACAGTGATTGATTTAACTGCAACCAGGGAATTCCAGATATTCCCATTACTCTGTCTGTCCACACTCATTTATCTTGGCGACGAAGTCTTTTACGAGGCTTACAGTTTATGAACTGCTGATCAGACTTCTAATTCTTGTATGCATTTCTTTTCGTCTCTCGACTGCAAGCGGACTAAAGGAGCTCTCCTACCGTTCTGCAGCAACAGGGATGAGTAAAGGAGGCTCCATAAGTTCGAACGGAAAATTGGTAACAAGCAATAGGCCTATTATAGTGAAAGGCAAGATGGTTGGACCTGTAACACTTCTGATTTGAATTTTACTGTCCCACTCTTAGCCGGAACATCGACTATTCTGACTGAGGGCTTTCGCTATCTTACTCAGCCTCCCCAGGATAGCTGCTCTGATTAGGCCACGTGTGTTTCCTTCCATGTCAGTTCCAAATAGTCAGTAACCGCTCTAACATTAGACGCTATAGGCCTGCAGTCTGCTCTGCCAATATATTTGTTAAATAAATTGCAAAAATAAACAGATAAATAACAACAGTTCCATCATGTAACCCATGTTTCTGCACAAAACATGGAACTTCCTCGTGACAGATAACAAACCTGTAACAGGCTTCTATTTCGACTTGTGGCACTCACTTCTCAGTTCCAGCAGTGCTGGACACTCGCAGTAAGATATGAGAACAGATGCTTAATTAAAATTACATTAAAATATTGTTGATGTTTTAATTTGGAATAGGGCATGTAGCACGCATGACAGCTGAGAAATGCATGTAAGGTAAATATACCGAACAGCGACCTTAAGTGCTGAATCTGTGTATAATCAAGCCATCCCGTGTTTAGAGGCAAATTTTAGCGTGTAAAATAATTATTAGACCCCCCCTCGAAACTATCTATTTTAAGTTTTACTGAAAAATTAATTTTGGCGATATTTGGGAGCCCGTGTATGCAGTAGAGCCACTTCGTGTCTGAAATATCGCGAACACATAAAAACAGTGGAATATAAGAAGAGGCATCACGAAATGTTATATATGCTCTAGCTGAAGACATGCCAATAATATTTTAAAGTTTATTAAGTTCTACAACAAGAAAGAAAAAGTTTATATGCTGCAATAAGCACCACAGACATTTGGTGAATATAATATTTCAACGGTAATTGATTAATATCGCATCATTAACATCCCAAAAAAATATTAAGAAGCCATACTGGAAAGCAGAATTACATTCTTCTTCAGCAGTAATATTTGTTAATTCTTGGTAAATGTGTCCAATTGACAGTACCGCCAACGTTGCAGGTTCCCATTAGGCTTAATGGTGACAGCTAGAACTGAAGTGCCTCTTGTCTCTCTCTGCGCCGACAGCAACCTATAGCAATATCTATACGTACGTCTCGTATATCTCGTACGTCTGCAGCTGTTATTGCTAGTGGGGTGGGACTGCGGCCACTTCTGCCTATTCTACCAGCCCCAGATATAGGTGAGGGTGATTGTGGAGCAGTTGGTGGAATGAAGATTGGCAGGGGAAACCGAAGTACTCGGAGAAAACCTGCCCTAGCGCCACTTTGTCCACCACAAATCCCACTTGACCAGACCCGGGCTCGAACCCGGGCCGCCGTGGTGGGAAGCCAGCGACTAACCGCCACGTCTGCAGCTAAGTTTTCAGGAAGTACCTTTATCAAATCGTACAGACTTTCAAAAAATAATTCAACTACGTTTGGAATAATTCTTGAAAATTCGGAGGAGCCTGCCTCCATGAGTCATGACCCACCGTTTGTTAAACCATGAGTGTGACGGGGCGCACCAGTTTTCCGTGTTCTTCTCACATTGTCACCTGCTACACAGTTGGTAGTGACTGCTTGCTCACCTTCAGTTTTCACGATAAGCTTGTTAATCTTATCAGTGATTCCTTTCCTGCTGGCTGCAAACACACATTGAACTTACTGTATTATTGAAAAATATCATTCTGTAGTGCACAAACCGTGATGCGATTCAAGTAGTGCTCGCCGAGGATTTTGATGTAACGTTCGAGCTTACGGAAGGTTGGCACTGCCGGTGGGCGAAGAATATTAGAGTGATTAGTAAGCTATAGGTTGGAACGGGGGAAGTTACGTAAGTACGGTTTGAAGTTCTGACAGCTGTGGTTATGAAGAGGTCTGTCCATCTGGAATGTAACCGTGTGGAAAATACATTCATTTCTTATCAGCCATAAAATTCATAATAGCCTTACATAACCTCGAATGATGGGAGTGGTTTGTGAATAATGGATTTGGAAGGTTGTGAAAGGAAGTGATTTGGCCCCATTTAGGATATTATTACGGCATTTTTTCTGGAGACATTGAGGAATATGAAGACCAATCAGGATAGCCGAGATTAGAACCCAGGACTCCTCGAATACAAAGTAAGAATGTTATTCATTTGATGCTAAGGATCTGTGTTAAGTCTGAATTTTTATTTCTAGGCCCCTTCTGTCGCTTGAGATAAGATAGCCAAGTAGAACGTAGATATGCCGCATTACTCTGTGTGTAAACTGTAAACAAGTCTCGAATGTGGAGGACATCGGCTTTTACACTACATGCACGTATCTAACATCTGCAGGATGCCAGAACGCAGCCACTGTATTGTGTGATTTCATGTCACTGTTGCACGCAAAGTTGTCGATGAGCACGTCACAATTGCATTCCGGAGCTCTCAGACTTAAGCGTTAACTTCTTATTAACGTGTCCGGCCAAGAATTTACGCTGGTAAGATGATTTTATCAAAATATAATTGAAAGTGGACTCATATTTTCGTAAACTTTCCTTATTTTAAATAATAATAGGAAGCTTATAAGGCCACTTTACTGTCTGTATGTCCTCCTCCCCTAATGTTACTAGGCAACGGTTCGGTAAACACGATTCTGCGGAAACTAATACGCACGCAATAATACAAGAACTATTTGACGCATGTTTTCTATGCAGCCCGTGCTATATCAAATACTGTATATGTGGTGAAAAGAAAGTCAGTCAGTTATACTTCTCCCAAAGTTGTGAGACAGTAAAATTTGTTCGTGAGTCCCACGGAAATTGGAACCAAGAATGACTGTGCTGGCGAGGACCCAGCAGGAATCTATCCGACCAGAACTGAAAGGAAAGTATACGATCGCTTTTTTCCTCAGAACTCTCTGTTTAGTCAATCTACTCCGTTCGGTCCGTCACGAACAGCTAACTCAGTCAGTGAGATTAGCTTTTCTAATGTGCCTAATTGAGGAAGTGTCTCCCCACCTACTCATATGAGGATGGAATCAAATCCAGTTTCCGAAACATTGTGCCCTTACAGAATACTACATGGTGGACAAATTCCAAAAACTCTGTAATACCGACTGTACTGTACCCTCGGCACAACCCTTTACAATTTAGATTTTAGCAGAATATGGCGGAGATGCGCATAAATTCGGAAATAGAGTTTTGGTATACATTCAGTCTGAACGTTCCTTGTTTATAATGATTCTCTAAGGTTTTATCGCGAGTGGGCTTGGACGACAAGGCGCCTAAAAACCATCATATTTATTCTAAAGCATTATGACAGTAGTCCATCCAGTAACACGAAAGTTACGATGGATATGAACCGTCTGAAGTACCTCGTTTATTCGCTGTGCTAGCGTAGACATATTGCAACGTACATGAGTATTAAGTATCTTTTTATATTATTTTAGCAAAAATATCAGCATATTTAGATTTATATATATCATATTTAGGCCGATGATACTTATGTCGGTGACATATGTAGAAAATGGATCAAAATTCACATACGAATCAAGCCACGCAATTAGTAATTTCCGTTAATAGATCCATTAAGTAATATACTGATTATTATAAAACATACTGTTACTAATAGACTGGCCGGTCACGGTAGCCGAGCGGTCTAAGGCATGCACTGTCTTCGCTCGCTCGGAAGCCGGGATCGTGGGTTCGAATCCCACTCAGGGCATGGATGCTTGTGTGCGTTTTTCTGTGTTTGTATACAGGTAGAGGCCTTGCGACGAGCTGATCACTCGCCTAAGGAGTCCTACCGAATGTGTAAGATCTAGTAAACCGAAGTGAAACGAGAGTTTCATGGCGGTAGGCCTAGGCCCAAATTGGGGCTGTAGCGCCACAGAAAAATAGACTGAGGGTGTTTGAGAACAGGGTGTTGAGGAGAATACTTGGACCAAAGAGAGATCAAATCACAAGAGGTTGCAGAAAACTGCATAATGAGGCGCTTCATAACTTGTACCATTCTCCAAGTATAATTAGAATGATCAAGTCAAGGAGGATGAGGTGGGCAGGTCATGTAGCACGAATGGGGGAGACGAGGAATGCGTATAGGATTTTGGTGGGAAAGCCAGAAGGAAAGAGACCACAGGGAAGACCAAGGCGTAGGTGAGTGGACAATATTAGAATGGATCTTAGAGAGATAGGATGGGATGTTATGGATTGGATTGATCTGGCTCAGGGTAGGGACCAGTAGAGGGCTCTTGTGAACACGGTGATGAACCTTCGGGTTCCATAAAATGCTGGGAAATTCTTAAGTAGCTGCAGATATGGCTTCTCCTCAAGAAGCACTCAGCTCCGTGAGTAAGTAAGTAAGTAAGTAAGTAATACTGTTACATAAAACCTAATTCATAAGTGGTCAGAGCTCAAGTTAATTTTACATAAAACTGCTTCAGCCCGGACCGACTGTTGTGCCCTTGGCAACTTGTTGCAGCAAGCTGTTGACAGCAAAAGACGTCCCGGCGACTCTTCTCTGACTCGATGACTTCTTTTTTTCCTTGGCACTACAGCCCCAGTGGGCCTAGGCCTCCCTCCATGAACTTCTCCGTTCACTTCGGTTTTTCTAGATCTTACACATTCGGTAGGACTCCTTGGGCGGGTGATCAGCTCGTCGCAAGGCTTCTACCTGTACACAAACACAGAAAAACGCACACACACAAACTAAACATCCATTCCCTGAGTGGGATTCGAACCCACGATCCCGGTTTCCAAGCGAGCGAAGACAGTACATGTGTTAGACCGCTCGGTTACCGTGACCGGCATGACAAATTTTAGTGGGTTGTAATTATTATTTATTACTTCCATTAGGAATTATATTTTCATCCTGAAAAAAATAAAAGTGCACTTATGAGATCACAATGCTGTCTGTGTGTCTGTGTTTCCACTCTACTAACTTTTGAGTACCTGAAATGTTGTATGTACATCATGGCTCCTGAGCCCATCTCAACGGCCGACTTCATAAATCCCTCCCACCAGTTTGCTTGTCTCTGTGTATGGGCAGAGTCTCGGCAAAAATGTTACTGCTGTAACGAACACACACGAAACGATCGAATTGTTGGACGCGTCGTTTCCTATGCGGTTCGTGTCTTATCAAAGGAAAGTAAGCAATTACTTTTCCCAGAACTTCTTGTTTGGCCATAATTATATAAAATAATATAGTTGTATTACCAGAAATACAGTTATATTATAAGCATAATGAGACTTTTGCCTACAATTTAGGAGCACTTTTGTGTGACAATTCGCTGTTATTCTGAAGACGCGTGTTCCCATTAAGTGTGATGCTCCCCACCGCTTGGCCGAAATGTTAACAACAGACATTAGGGTGAAGTAGATTCTAAATGGTTATGTCGATGTGTATTAATTAATTAATTAATTCATCAATGACTACAGCCCTTTGTTGGACCCTGGCCGCTTCTTCAGTTTCGTAATCTTTTTTACACACACTGTAGGACTCCTTAGACGAGTGATCAGACCGTCGCAAGGTCGCTACCTAAACACAAACAGAATAAACGGACACAGATATCCATGCCTTGAGTAGGATTAGAACCCACGATTCCGGTTTCCAAGCGAGCGAAGACAGTTCATGCCTTAGATTGCGCGGCGACTGTGGTCGGCGTTCATGTGTATAACACTAAGAATTACTGAGTTTTTTAATATTGCCCATAGTTCGGTGTTTTATAGAATAGTTCTTTGGTGTTCTTCAGAATTCCGGACCATGGACGAAGTCAAAAAACAAGAATTCCGAGGACTAGTACGAGGTGTAAGGAGTGTTAGGTTATAAAATGAAAAACGAATAGTTAATTCGCTCTAAACAGATGCTGAGTACAATCTGCTGTCAACCAGCGAGGCCGCAGGGCTATTGCGGCTGTGTAACCAGAACAACTCTGTTGAGGCAGCTGTTAGCAGAATGTTACGTAGTGTACAGTGTGGAGGACAGGAACTGCCGTGAAGGCATTTCCTAGTGCCCTCTTCATTTAACATGACCTTCACTGCGAACATAACAGACAATGAATAAACATACTGAGGTGAACAGCACATTCAACCGGCTTACTGGAGGACTTAATGCAGTATGCTAAGTGATGTTGAGAACTGGCTGTAAACAAGGAGAACACTTCTGTTAAGTAAAGCTTCGGCGTTTATGCAAACTGATCTTACTGTCCGTTATGAGACTTGCAGTCATTGTCACATCAGACTTACATGCCACTGCATTCCACCGCTGACTGATTCATTCTGTGCTCGGTTTCGTAGGTCATTTACTGTCTGATCAGGCGGCATGATAATCAGGCAACAGTTCGGGACGGCAGGAGGCAGCGATAGTGGACACATTCGCCCCGGTTACTCTTTAGTTAGTTAGTTAGTTAGTTAGTTATTGGAGAGGGTGGGTTTCCCCATGCACTTAGACCTGTATTGGTCCATTATGCTTCCCTCTATGATTTCTACCAGTCTCTATATCCTACCGGTACTGGTGCTTACCATCAGTCCCGCCCAGCCAGCGAGACCGGCTCTACTAGCTGAGAGGTATCTATAATGCTTCCCCCATCTACCAGAGGTATTAGAGACTGCTGTTGGGCGGGAAACGTCCGTAATTTGGCTCAGTGACCTCCTTTGGAGGTATGAGGTTCTTTTACGTGCCGTAAAGCTACGACACGGGACCCACGGCTTAAAGTCCCTCCCGGAGGACTTGTTCCCTGAATTTTTCCGCCCTTAAAAATTCGACGACCTCCGCCGGGTACTTGAACCCGCGTACTACGAGTCATGAGGTGGGAACATTACCTCTAGACTACGGAGGCCGCTATTTTTACTCTTTACCAAAAAGGTAAATTTGACCCTGTGCTTAACTAATTCAGCATTACTCCATGAAGACGTATGGCGGAGTGGATGTATAGATCCATATTTTCTTATCCTCGGCACTAGTTGGAGGTGAGTGGTCAGCTTCACGCCCCTGTCGTTTTGCAGCCCGGTACCCATTGGATAGGAGGCTGGGTGGGCCTAAGAACCAGAACCGGTCTGGACGCTGTGGAACAGAGAAAATTCTTTGCCCTACCGGGACTCGAACTCCGACCCCTCTGTCGTCCAGCTCGTAGCCAGTCGCTGTATAGACTGCGTTATACTGAATATGAAGGCAATTAGATAAAGGGGACACCCTAAGTACGCTTACTTTGACGTAGCGGTGGGGCTTGCATGGTTATACTCGTATGGTCCTGAGAGCTATGCCGGCGGTAGTATAGCTACTGGTAGGATCTCCCATGCCGGAGAAGTCAAAAGTGGTGATTCAGACAAAAAGGGATACTCTGGGCCTCCAGGTTGGAGGTTGCGCGTGGGATTCACAGCCTCACCCTTTAAAAAGCCCTAATTGCTGAGAAGCTTCCAACGGTTGCAGCCGGACGGAAGCGCCTAAATGGAGACGAAAGTCATGGGATCGGACCCAGTGGCGAGCAGTTGTAACAGAAGCCAAGGTTTGTCACGGACTGTAGCGCCCGCAGAAGAAGAAGAAGAAGAAGAAGTAGATAAAGCAGAATGAGATGGGCGCTGCATCCAACAGAAAACTTACTACACAACTGAAGGGAGACCACTTGGAAGGCCCAGGCATAAATATGAAGATAATATTAAAATAAATGTGAAAGAAATAGGATGTCATGTTGTGGATTGGATTTGACTTAGGGTAGGGAGAAGCGGTGTCGCGCATTGTGAACATAAAGGTGAACCTTGGGATTTCAAAGATGATTTTCCTGATTCGCTGAGCGAGTATCAAATTCTGAAGAACTTCACATTATTTCGTCCGAGTATCCTCTGCCGCGTGGTCTGTTTACTTCAGCTTTACCGATTAAAATGTTATCATCATCATCATCATCATCAGTAATCTGTCAAGACGACAGGTCCACAGTCTCTTTCAAAACAATTCCTCCACTTAATGCGATCTAGAGCTTTCTCCTTCAAATGACAGTATCCTCTTCTGTCCCCAAGGTCATCCAGCATCTTCTTACGTCTTCTTCCTCGTCTTCTTGTCACTTCTATCCGCCCATCTATCTTTCCTTCGATAGCTTCTTTTAGAAGGCAGTTTCTGCGTAAAACATGACCAATCCAATTAGCCTTCCGTTTTCTTATTTCATGTAGGATATTCCTCTGCTCACTGACTCTAATTAACACTTCTTCATTTCTCACATAATCGGTCCAACTGATCTTCTCCATTCTTCTCCAACACCACATTTCGAAACTTTCCAGATGTTTCTGATCTACTGCCCTAAGTGTCCATGTTTCAGCCCCATACAGAGCTATGCTCCAAATGTAGCATTTCACTAGTTTCTTCCTCAAATTTAAGTCCAATTTGCTGGTAAAAAGATTCTTCTTCTTGCTAAATGCAGCTTTTGCCATGGCAATCCTGGATTTAATTTCACAAGTACACCTTCCATCATCTGTTAACAAGCTACCCAAATATTTAAAACATTTCACATTCTCCACTTGTTTTTGGTCTATCTTTATTGTGACTGGGGTTGGTTGTCTCGAAATTTTCATTACTTTTGTTTTCTCCACATTCATTTCCATGCCATAGCACCTTCCAATTTCAATTAGTCTATCAATCATGCCCTGTAGCACAGTTTCTTCCTTAGCCATTAACACAAGGTCATCTGCATATTTCACAGTTTGAATAATTTGCCCTCCTACTTTGAAGTCACCGAGCCCATCCAGAGCTTCCTTGGTAAGGCATTCGCTGTACAAGTTGAACAGAATTGGTGATAAACAGCATCCTTGTCGAACTCCTCTTCCAATCTGCACACTTCCTGTCTCCCCCCTGTCCAGTCGTACTCTAACTTTCTGATCCATGTACAATTTGCTAATCAATCTTCTTTCATGCCAATCGATACCTGTTTCTTTCAGGATCTGCATTAATTTGGTCCAGTTTACCCGGTCAAATGCCTTCTGCCAGTCTATGAAGCAAACACACAGTTCTTCATCTATCTCCAAAGTTCGTTCCGCTATAATTCTCATCATCCCAATTGCATCCCTGGTTCCTTTTCCTCTTCTAAATCCAAACTGATCTTCTCCAAGTACATCCTCTATTTTCCTTTCAATTCTTCTTTTAAGTATCTTTGCTATTATCTTTGCTGTATGTGCAATAAGACTTATTGTGCGATGGTCGCTGCATTTTGTAGCTTTTGTCTTTTTCTTTAAGGCAATCATTGTAACTTCTGTAAAGTCCTTGGGCCACTCTCCACTTTCATATATGGTGTTCATTAGTTTTGTCAGTGTTTTCAAACCACCTTCTCCCAGTAACTTGAGCACATCTCCAGGTACATCATCATCTCCTGTAGCCTTTCCCTTCCTCATTTCCTTGATAGCTTTTTCCACCTCACTTTGTAAAATATATGGTCCTTTCTCGTCTGTATCTACTTCTTCTTCCGGTTCAACTTCTAAGGTTTCTGGCCGATTAGGTCGATCATATAGTTCTGAAATATAATTTTCCCAAATTTTCAGCACTTGCCTCTGATCTACTATTCTATTCCCCTGGGAGTCTTCGATGCCAACATTTTGAATCCCATGATTCTCTTTCCATCCTAGTTCTTTTGTCTTCATGTACATCAAATCATAACGGCCTGTTCTTTGAAATTCCATAATCTCATTACATATCTTCTCAAGATATTCCTTTTTGGCCCTGTCCGTGGCTCTTTTCAATTCATTCCTCAGTCTCCTGTATTTCCTCCTGCCTTCTTCATTGTTGACATTCTTCCATTTCCTTCGCTCCTCCATTTTACTCATCATCTCCTGTGTAACCCATGGTTTTCTTGCTATCTTCTCAACTTTACCTACCAAATCACTGATAGTATCTAACATGCATTCTTTTATATCGTTCCACTGCGCTTCAGCATTTCCGCTTTCACCTTCAATTGCACCGAGTTTCTCTTCTAGAGTCTCTTGCACGCTTTGTCTTTGAGCATATAACTTCTCCAAATCCCATCTGGGTCTGCGCTTTCGAAATCCTATAATTTTCTTCAACCTGGTTCGGAACTTGGCAACCAGCAAGTTGTGGTCAGAGTCAATGTCTGCCCCAGGAAGCGTCTTCACATCCTTCACACTGTTTCTGAATCGATGTTTCACAAGGATGTAGTCCAGCTGATGCCTCTTCCAATCCCCAGGTGCCTTCCATGTGTAAATTCTTCTCTTTGGCTTCTTGAACCAAGTGTTGGTAACAATCAATCCATTTCGTTCACAAAAGTCAATAAGCATTTGACCTCTGTGATTCCGTCTTCCTAGTCCATGTGATCCAACAATATTCTGATATGGTTCATCTCCAACAATGCTGTTCCAGTCTCCCAATATGATGCTGTTTGTGTCTCCTCTTCCATCTTCCTGAAGAATTTCTTCAATTGTGTCATACACTTTTTCCACTTCATCATCTTCATACTCTGATGTTGGCATGTACACTTGTATAATCAGTATATCTACCGGTTCCGCCTTTAACTTCAGAGCAATAATTCTGTCATTACAAGCAATCTTCTTAACAACACTCCTCACTACACTTTTATGCACCACTATTGCCACACCTCTTTCAGCCCGTTCACCTCCGGAATAATACACTGTATAATCACCGCTTCTTATTTCACCTTGTCCTTTCCACCGCACTTCGCTGACACCTAGCACAGACACTTCATTCTTCTGCATTTCCGTTTTCAAATTCTCCAATTTTCCTGCTTGATTCAAGGTCCTGACATTCCATGTTCCAATCTTGTATCCATGCTGTTTCTTCTGATCTTCGCACTTTTTCTTGTTGTAACGCCTGCATGACATTTCCTCTAGAAACACTCCCCCCCGGAGATCCGATTGGGGGAGTAGTTTACCTCCGGATTGTTTTGCCTCCAGAGGAAACATCTCGCATATATGGTATCTCTGTTTTTGGAAAGAGACTATCCAGGAAAAGTGATAATGTGGTAGTTTTTCCATTTGCTTTCCACATCGCAGTACAGCAGCCGTTCAAACCACTCTGGTCACGCCTGCTGCTATACGAACTTGAACCATCTCGAGCATCATTTGCTCTGTGCTTCAAGTCGCTACTGATGACGCTGCTTCCGGCATCAGTTTTTGGTGTCTCTCTTCGTCTGATGCCTACCCTTTGACCTGTCCAGCAAGGGAGGCCCTGCCAGTAGCTACGCTACCGCTGGTATAGCTCTCAGGGTCCTTGAAAATGTTATATGTTTTTTTTTTATTTTCTCTCCTGCATGTTACTGCGATATACCAACTAACTACATGAACGCCTCCATGGATCGGAGCTGCGCGGTCAGCAGCATATCCCGGCCGAAATTCATCACAAAGTTCGCAAGAATCCACCACTGATCCTTAACATAATGACCCAATTGTATTTAAACAAACAAGTAACAGTAAAACTTTCGTCAAATGCATTTCATCCGTATATGGAGAAAAGCCTTGGCATTAAGAAGCAAGCAACTGAACTGCCAAACGTAGAAGTTAAATGCAAGTAACAGGGTTTATTTGGGTCCCGTGTCGTAGATTTACGGCACGTAAAAGATCCTCATGTCTCTATGAGACCTCTGAGCAAAATTAGGCCAAAGTTTCCCGCCCAAGTAGTTTCCAATGCCTCCGGTAGATGGGGAAGTATCGGGTACCACTGCCAGAAGAGTGCCGACCTCGCTGGCAGCATGGGGCTGATAGTGAGCACCAGTACTGGAAGGGTATGGCGACAGTAGAAATTAAAGGCGGACGCACAATGGACCAACAACTGGTCTAAGTGCATGGGGAAACCCATCCCCTTAATAAAATAATAATAATAATAACAGGGTTTGTTTGTGTTCCAAAACAGCTGGAGGCGCTAGTTCCGTGATGCCGTCGCCTCTCTGAGTCTCTCTCGCCATGCTGCCCCGGATCTCCCTTCGCCGCAGTTTCCTCTACCTGCTGGGTGTCACTTGCTTCCTCTTCCTGGCGGTAAACATGCACCAGCGGGAGCTGTGGGCCCGTTCTCTGTTGGCGGCTGAGATGGGTCCGGGGGGCGCCAACCCTCCCCACGGCGCGGCAGGCAGCAGGGGCAGTGACAATGCTCAGGTCGCAGATCACGTCGCCATAGGGACCAGCAGCCGTCTGGAAGCGGCTGTCGAAGAAGAGACCAGCGTGAAGGAGCAGGACATCGAGGAAGACCAGGTAACAGCTGATGAGGTTAATATTTGCCTTGTCTAGGAGCCGCAGGGGAAATTCAAAGTTGTACAGAGTGTCCGTTGTGGGCCAAACATTTTAATAAGGTATTTCTGGAATAGTCAAATATGGGAATGACTCACGAGTTTACTTGGTACGCCGGCCACTGGTCAAACAGTTGTACCAGCCGCCGGTTGGGTGTGACGCATTCGGTGGAACGAGAAATGCCAAGAAAAGGAAAAGTACTCGTAGAAAACCCACCCCAGTGCCATTTTTTTCCACCAAAAATCCAACGAATCTCAGTGGGGTTCAGGTTCTTGTAGGGTGCCAATGACGAATATGATCTTCTGGATTGGAAATCCATGTAGTAAGAAACCCACCGATGTTTCCCGAAGAACGTATCGCCTCCATCTTCAGAGTCCAATTCAAACAAGAAAGAAGCAATAAGCAGGCGGCAAAGAAAACGAACCGACCTCTGCTTATTTCTGATCCCTCGAGACGCAGGTGAACTTCTGCCTTGCTGCGCGGCTTTACAGCTCAGAAGATATTGAAAAACGTGAAGTTGTCCCTGTGTTTAACCAATTAATGTAGTGGATGTATAGATCCACGTGTTCTTGACGTCGGAATTAGTTAGATGAGAGTCGTTAGCTTCACGCTCCGGCCGCTAGTTCTGAACATAATATCAGTGAACAGTCTTGATATAAATGTTAGGAACGTAAGAATTGTCCATCATACTCTCGTCCTTTTTAGGATGCTATGAGGAGTTTATGGAGGTAGGCCTAGGCCCACTGGGGCTGTAGTGCCAAGGAAAAGAAATATATAGCAAAGTTCGTTATTCACATTCTGTATATCTCACTTAGTAACTTGTTACTAGGCAGCAGAGTTAACTTCTTGGGAAATGCTTTCTCTGAAGCACAATGGACGTGCGTGGATAACATTAAGATGAATCTTAAGAAAAGCGTGGGAAATGTATAGAACTGGCTGAGGCTCTAGAGGGCTGGTGTGGCTCACTTAGTACAGCGACTGACTAGGCTATGGACTCGATGAATCGGGGTTTGATTCCCGGTGGGACAGACACTTCTTCTGCGGTCCACCCAGCGTCTTGTCTCTTGTCTCAGAGGGTACCGGGAGCTCTTCCCCCTCGGCCGAGGTATGAAGGTGACCACTCACCTCATCTAGTGCTGAGATTAAGTATGAGTGGATTTAGAACTCCACGCCCTTATACGTCTTCATGGCGTTCACAGGGACCAACTTTAACTTTACGTGGACTGGCTCAAGATCGTGTCTTCAGTGGTACTGGCGCTTAACCTTCGGTTTCTGCCTCAGAGTCCTGATTTGCTGTACAGCCCGTTCGATCACAGCTCAGGGCACGTTCGCTTTGTGTTGTAGAAAGTGTGGAACAAGGGCAGGTTTTCTCCAAGTATTTCTGCTTTCTTTGTCATTTCTCGCTCCACCGAATGCTTCACACCCAAGCGGGGGCTGGTATAACAGTTTGACCAGTGACCGTCGTACCAGGTAAACTCTCTCTCACCCAAACGTATGAATTAACAACGTCTGGGTAGAGCTAATTGCCTACTTTCCTTTGATACGGCACGGACCGCAAAGAAAACGAAAAAATTAAGGGAGATACACAGACATCAAGGTGACCTCATAAGCCTCCTAACAAAAATTAAAGGTGATAGATAATACAGACAGGCAGAGACACATAAGATGGACAGACAGACAGACAGACAGCAAGTGAACTCATAAACCTCCTTTCACATTTTCAAAATAACGAAAGTTGGATGTAAAAGAGTTGCTGTTCAGCCCGCATGGAAAGGCCTCACTGACTGCGAAGTGATGTGTTACAGGCAGGGGCTAACCAGGGGATGGTGGCAGCCACAAGCATCAGTAACGGAAGAGAGGATGTACCACAGGAAGAGGAACAAGGTCGGCCTTGGTACATGTCTGGAGGCACACGATGGCCTGTACCCGCAGCGAAGATTCGGAAAACTGGACGTCGTATACTTCGACTGTGGCCCCACGAAGACCCCGGGTCAGACCGCATTACGAACCAACTCATGTTTGTTCCACCTGTCTCGTCTACAGGCGAGTCAAATGGTCATCGGCTCAAGAAGATACTTATCTTCAACGGACTAGGCTCCTGGGCGCCACTCAAGCCAGGGAGGGATGTATTCACACAGGCCCGGTGCCCTGTTGACACCTGTACCGTCACGTCGGATAAGGCGCAGGCAGCAGACGCCGATGCGATTCTGTATAAGGATCATTTCGTCAACCCAGGCCATCCTCGTCCACCAAGACAGGTAACAGATAGACTCGGCGGAGTCCATCTAACGATACGGTTTAGTACACATTCGTGTCAGGGAGAACCGGGCTTCAGTTTTCACTCTTGGTGGCCAGTTATCCTGGTTGAGGGCTTCTGTAGTCCCTCCCGAAAAAAATGATACGATTACGTCTTGAAGTAGATCACGAGTGATCCATTTATATTCCTTTCCAGTTCATCATTAACAACTAACGAAGACATAAACATAGCGTTGTCGAGATTTTTCATTTTACCTTGAGTCCAGTTAATCTTCGGGACCCACTCATTGCCCTGGAAAATGGGTAAAGGTGGAGTGAGCGTCAAACAGATTACTCGTCTCCATCTAATGTAGAATTTAAGAACGTGCAAAAATTTGACTTCATATATTTATACTTTATTTGAAAGATAGCTTTAATTTCAACTATTAATGAAGAGATTCAATCTTGCTAAGCTAATATGCGCTCAACTGGTCAGTAAATTCCTCTCTGGAACCTGAAGGTTCCTTGTCTTCAAATGAATAAGTAAATTACATTATGTAGGATTGAAGGTTCTCACACCGGTGGTTATGAAGATCACTATCTTCTGGGATATACCGCCGTGTAGTCCGTTGAAAGTCAACCGACGATTCAGAGGAACACATCACCTCCATCTTCAGGGTCGAATAAGCCCAGAAAGAGACGGTATATTCCTGCGAAACGTCGGTTGACTATCAACGTACCACATGGCGTTATGTCCCGGGAGGTAGTAGTACTCTTCAAGTAAATTACATTTTTTGAGATAATTTTGGAACTGGTCATTTGTCATGCCTGGCGTCTGACTGTTGAAGCAGTTCGAATCCCACTAAAGGCATGGATGTTTGCGTTTATTCTGTGTTTATGTTAAGTGGCGGCCTTGCTACCAGCCGATCCCTTGCCCAAGGAGTCCTGCCGACTATCTAAGATTTAAGACTCTGAAGTGAAACGAAGCGTTTGACGGATGCACTCTGCTCCAAGTCGCAGTAGTAGGAACATAGACAGACAGTACATGAGTACAGTAGATAGAAAGAAGCCAGGTACGATAGGTTTGTCCAGTCAATTTACTGGCATAGTAATTCCGGCTTACCATGTTAAAACAATAGGCAGATATTGTTCTAATTATGCAATAAAATTGAAAATACTTTAACATGCGTATGTGCACGGCAGAGCTTTAATAAGTTTTTAATAACACATTAACAGTTCTACTATAAAACTATTATTATAAATTCTAAAAATTTTCAGTTTCACATCAAGCCAATTTACCGACTCCATGGAGTAGAATACCTTTTAATTAGCTAACAGTTATTCATCTTTTAAAGAAATTCTTTGTCATTTATGGAATTCACATAGGCACTAATATAAAACATCAGTAAAGGAAATATGAATACTATCGCTACATTTACACCTTTTTTCATTCGAATGTTGGGCATCCTGTTGTGTCACTAGTGTGTGGTATATCCGCTAGTCACAACCTTTTATTTTCAATAACCGATGTTTATTGAAATGCAAAGCTATCCCTGTAACAGGCCGTGGAGGCCCATAGGGTTGTGAGATGTTGAGGCTCTCATATTTTCTAGACAGTCGACTCTCAGATGGCGGTGACGTTGTCAGCCTTACGCGCCAGCCGCCCTTTACCCCCAGGAAGATTCCTGGTGCTCATTTCTGTTAGAGGCTGAGTCGACCCCACGGGCATAGTGCGGCTGGAAGGATTAGTTCAACTGAAAAATCCAGTGACCTTTTCGGGAATTGGACCCGTGGCCTTCCGCCATGTAACATAGTGCCTCAACGAAATACGCTGCCCCGTACCCCCATTGAAAATGTTGCTATGCTATATTTGCACTGCAGGACTGGAAGAGACATAAACTCTGCATAAGCCTGCCCCACTCCGTCTGATTCGGATTTCAGCGAGGCTCTGTCGTCAGCACGCCCGTTTCGCAATGTGCAAACTGTCTGGCGGAACCTGTTTCGATAGTTACGTTTCATAACTAGGACCAGACGGTTTAAATATAGCCAACTGCCCATCACACCAGAATTGGGTCATTGGGCGAGGACGCGTGAGTCCAGAGGAACGGCATATCGGGCTGTTGTTCGTAGGCGACAAAAGAATGGATATCAGTATGATTATAAAGTGACACCAGAGTTTGCAATTTACAAAGCAAGGTTTTCTTTCTTCTTATTGCATCAGAAGGCTCTCTTCGAAAATATTGCTCCAAATATCTAAAACTGCCTTAACATATAATTTGACTATTTCTACGGTTAAAACGAAAATGTTAGCCCTGCTTGGCTTATTCTTCAACCCTAAAGATGGACACGACATGTTCCTTCGAAACGTTGCTTGACTTTCACCACATTACACGGCGTTGTATCCCAGAAGATACGAACTCTTCTGTATGTAGTAATACTGTTTATTACAGACCGTCAACAATGCAACAAATTGCTCCTTCTTTCTTTGTTGCAATGTTGACGGACTGTGTAGTACAATAACAGTATTAGATATACGTAGTAATGCAAAGGGATGCTTATGTGCTCTTCTGTGGCCTTGTTTTACGCCTTTGATAACGTGTTATTGTTGGGTTTGCATTACAACAGCACTAGGGCTCTACACAGATATTGCCTAGCTAAATGCTTATGAAATGACATCCTGATAGGGCCCAATCTAGAGCTCTGTCGCTCAGAATATGTGTGATTTTGTCTTCACGTATGTTGAACGTCTGCATGCTTACTGAACAACACTACGTTTATCTTCTATGGTTATTCAAAAGTGCAGAGCATCTTCACTAATGTTCTCACTCTGTCTAGGTATGGATCCTGTACTTCCTGGAGTGCCCGTATCACACGCAGCACGTTAAATTCAATGATGTGTTCAACTGGACGGCAACATACCGCCGGGACAGCGACATCGTGGCGCCCTACGAGCGTTGGGCGTACTACGACGAGCGCGTCAAGCAAAATTCCAGACTCGATCACAACTATGCCGCCAACAAAACGAAAAAGGTGAAAAGCCTGAATTGCAACATACACTATATACAGGGTGTCCCAGGAGGAATGTGCCAAACTTCGGGAGGGTGTTCCTTATGTTAAAGTATGCCGATATAACCCAAAACACCTATGTCCAAAGTTGAACGGTTACGGAGATAATGGCCAGAGAAGTGTCAAACTTTGACCGGGGTTACACACTTGTTGATTACAAAATAGATATTAAAACTGGCAGGAATATGTGGATTCTGTAA